GAAAGTTTTTCATTCATGAAGAATGTGCATAAATATGTTCAATATCTATAGTGAACCATCATCGTTGGACCCAACCACATCCCCAACTATACAGACTAGTATGACGGATAATAGAGCATTTTGTTAACTCAACAAAGTCTTGTTTCTATTCATCATGGTACCTGTGGTAGTCCAATATTATGTGATATAGTTCAAATGATGTTCACACATATTCTTCTTGATCTTAACTTTTTGATCGAAAAGCTCAATATGATAAGATTACTAACACTTATCATTTTGTGTATGGTATAAAAAATATAATTTTAGAGTTTCTGACTACAAAAGGGATGAATAAATATATCCTCCAAAGGCACCTCCAGTCAGTGAAAAACATAAAGAGGACTATCGAAGTTGAGAAATAAGAAGAACTGTCATGTCTTCCTAAAAGGAAAGATTTTGATGTTATTCAAGATGTTTCACTATCTATTGAGAGTTTTGTTGAAGTTAATGTAAGGAGGATCCTAAGCCAATAATCATGACTAATGATGTTCAACTCAAGGATGAAGTTGAAGGGCAAATTGATCAATATGTTGATTTCATCCTACCATCAAGATTCCAGCCCTTGTAAATGGTTACGGGTTTCCACATTGTTTGTTGCTAAAGAGAATGGCCAAGCAAACATGTTGCTATATTTTTACGGGAAAGCTTAAGTATCAATATTTTATATTATTCATCACTTAAAAACTCGTGAACGAATTTACTCCAATGAGGAAAGAATGGTTTAGAATGGTTTGTGCCTAAATAGATTACAAATAATAAATTTTAAATGTAAAAATACTGTACTATTTAGAAATGTAATATTATAGTTTTAGTAATTTAGGATTTTTATTTTTATTAATATTTTCCTATTTGTATTAAGATTAGTATTCATAGTATTGTTAATATTAGTTTCTTATTCTTATTAGAATCAGTATTTTTAATTCTATTAGTTTACTATTTTTTATTCTAATTCTAGTTAAAGAAAGTTACTTAGAAATTATTATAAATAGTTTTGTATTTCACTCACTAATCATTCAAGTATTTGGTAATATTTTTTTGATAATTTTTTGTAAGTGATTGTGTGACTCAATCAATCATAAGTGTGATGCTTAAGAACCCTACGTGTGATACCTAGATTTTTCTTATTTAATAGGCAAATCAATCCTAATTTTTCCTATATCATACATGCTTATATTTGGCTAACTTGCGTATATCGCAATGTAGATTCCCATAATCAAAATTTTTAAATAATAAAGGAAACATAACCTTTAAAATGAAAAAGAATGTATGATCAAGTCTTTTGTGGTAGAGCCAAAACTTGTGGTTAGGATGAGTAGAAACAACGTGGAAAGATCCACTAGGTGCATTCTAGTAGTACAATCTATTTATGGCCTTAGTATGTCCAATCATCTTTCTCGAGTTCTAATCTTGAAAGTCATAGTGAGAAGAAAAATGGATATTTTATAGTTCAAATCTTGTGATAATTTAGTACTGGCGGAAGGTTTGTATATAATGTAGAAACATGTAACACATTTTTGTAGAACCAAGGTATGACTCAACTTAATGTTGGCTTTCCCAGCAATGATGCTTGGGAAACTGTGACAATTTTTTTTTTTACTATTAGGGCATGGAACATAAATGCAAAACAATTTGGAAGTATTGGTCATATGATCGATTGACCTGTAAGTCCACCATCCATGAGTTTTCAAATGGTTTATTGGAGGCACTAAAACCATGTGAGAAAGAAAACACATATGAGTGCTTCATCAAATCTTTATCTTTGGGTTTCTTAAGATCTTCTAATATATTTCGTATTCATTCTATTTCAATCTTGAATTCATTGAAATTAGGAGTTTTGTCTTCATCAAATCTGTACCTTTGGGTTTCTTAAGATCTTCTAATATGTTTCGGAGTCATTCTATTTCAATCTTGAATTCATTGAGATTTGGAGTTTTGTCTTCCTTTTTCTGGTCGGCTACAAAGGCCTGTCTGTGGGATTTCTGTAGAGTATTCTTTAATTCCGCTCCTTGCTTGAGGTATTGAGCTTGTCATGAAGTTTTCAACATTTATCTTTTGCATCTGTAGACTTCTTGCAAAAAATACACTGAAGCTTATCCTTGTTGTCGGTGCTAGGCGCTGAATTTTCAGCTTGACTTAATTTCTTTGTCTGTTTGTGTGGCTTGGGAGTCTTTGGAGATTAGTTGCTAAGCTATCAGTGGGTCAGTATTCTAATATGGTCTATCTTCTGCTCTCTTTTTGCTGATACAATAACAATTACGTTGTTTAGTAATGACGTTTCGTCTTTGCATAAGATTTGGCTTCTTGATCAAACTCTTGCTTGAGTCCTGCCAAAAATTGAAAAGTCCAATATTTATCCACAAACTGTTTGAGGTCAGCTATATCATTGTCACAGTCCATAGTAAGGGTCTGGTACTGTTCCAATTCCTATCACCAAACATTTAATATATTAGAATATTTAGTGATTGACCTGCTTTTTTGCTTGGTAAACCATGTCTTGAAGTTCAAGTAATTTGAGCAGCATCTTTGACTTTAGAATAGGTTTCCCTAATTGCATCTTACACTTCTTTGGCTGTACACAAGAATATAATTATTTTACTTATCTCTGACAACATGGAGTTCCAGAGCAACGCCATGGTCATTGAACCTTCCTTATCTCACACGTTAGTGGTTGGGTCTCCTGGTTTTAGTTTAATTCTTAAGAGGTGCCTGCACTTTCATTTCCCTTTGAGAGTGATCCCAATTAATTGCAACCAACTCAAGTAATTATTCCAGTGAAGCAATAAACAGTCTGGATTGGCTAAAATTCACTATTGTTTTAGGTAGAATTTTTTATGTGGAATTTGTTTCTGTACTTTAAGATGTAATCTCCGATATATTTTAAGAATTGTAGAGCAATTAAGAAAATAAAAGGTCATGGGAAGGATGTCAGTAGTGGATATTGCGGCTGTCCCTTGAACAGATCGCCACCTGGAGCGGCTGAGCAAGAAGATGGCAGCATGGGTCTTGACAACCTGGACAAAGACGTGCATGGTAGAAGGGGCTTGTGGCTAGTTGACACGTGGCTAGCAGTGGATATTGCGGCTGTCCCTTGAACAGATCGCCACCTGGAGCGGCTGAGCAAGAAGATGGCAGCATGGGTCTTGACAACCTGGACAAAGACGTGCATGGTAGAAGGGGCTTGTGGCTAGTTGACACGTGGCTAGCTGTGCGTGGTCGAGGTGACTGGGTGTGCGACAGAGGAAGTTGGGTGTGTAGTTGTGACGAGGCTGGCTAGACAAGAGCTACGCAGTGCAGGCTTGCGGTTTTGGCAGCTAGTGGCTGAGCAGTTCCTTTGGCTGCTTCTGGCCGTGACGTTCTAGTATCTATGGCTGGCTTGTGGTGGAGATGGCCTCCATGTGGTGATTGACAACTAGGGTTTTGGTGGCCAGCGATGGAAGTTGACCTCCTTTAAGGTTTTCTTATTTCGCAATGAAGGACGAATATGATTTATAAAAGAGTTTAAGGTTTCTAAACTTGGAGTTATGATACCATTGTTAAAAATAGTTGAATATGTATTTTATTAAATGTTACAATTTTATATATACAAATTTTCTTAAATAGAAAAGAAAATAAACTATTAATTACATATAGTGTGTTTTACTCTAATGTACTTTAACCTAATTATTTATATTTTTCAACATAAGTAAATTGGTTAATAGATGATTTTTAAGAACTTAATAAGTACTCTTCTTTTCATATTACTGAGTACGAAGATTAAGGAATGCTGCCTAAAGCTATTTATAAGCAGCAAATAAGCAAATCCAAACACTATAATACGCAAATAAGCAAATTCGAACACCATAACACCCTCTCAAATAGTGTCAACTTAGAATATAATAGCATACTTGTAATAAGCTAGAGAGCCTATAACATTTACGATAACGTATTTGTTATATAATTTTTTCTGGAAATAAAGAGCTGCTACACTTTCAATATGGGGAATATTAGCTGAAGCTATTTTTTATATATTTATTTAGTCAATATTAAATTAGTTCCTAGAGTTTATGCGTTCTCCAAAATGAATGCTGTTGCCTATCATCTTTCCAAAAGTGCTATTGTTAAAGCTTATAAACTATCTAGCTTATAAAATTATTATTGATGACCAAGCATATCATCGAAAATTTTCAAACTCTTAGTGAGCTATAAGTCTTTTTTAATCAAAATTTAATCTAAGCCAAAAAATCCTCTAATATTCTCTGGGATATTGGAAACTTGGAAGATAATGGACATGTTGACTATCAGTTTTAATCTGTACTTTTGACTAAATTGATATGGGACTTGCGTCCTTGAAAAATGGATATTGTGGTTCTCTCTCTTGGCTATTGTCTCCAAATCCTAGAAAGTAGATAACCTATACAATTATTTACTGTTTCCATAACTCCTAAATCTGATTCAGTGACCAAAGAATCTAACTCGATTTTATACTTATTTGTATTCTCCTGGTGGTTTGGTATAGGCTCATTATTTGTCATTACCATTGGTGAAGTGAAGGCTCCTGGATCTCTGCTATGATCTTCATTAGTTTGTATATTTGCTACTTTTTGATAGATTGTTTCTAGTTAATTTTATTCTTGATGGGTGTGTTTCAACAGCCGGAGATGGAGATGGTAGCACGAGGTTTAGAGAAACTCATGAAAGCAGAAGAGAGGAAGTTTCTAATGGACCTATTTGTAAGGGTTTGTGGTGAAGAGGCTCGTAGAAGTGCGGCAGAAGCTTTAGGTTTGGTATGTTCATACTTCTTCTCTGCCTCAAGATTTGGCATTCCTGCAGTTGTCTTTCATGAATGTGCTCCTGCGATTAGCTTATTCCTGATTGCTATATTACTAAATAAATTCTGAGGAACCTTTGATCATCACATGCATATGCTACTTTACTCAACAAACTATTTCGAGAATGCGTCATTCCTTATATATGTAACAAAATTTTCAAACATGCAGGTGGAAATAGAGGGACGAAAACTAGATTCGAACTAATCTATATTTTTCCATGGACCATTTTTATGATGAGTTCATCGAATTTAGGAGGGAAATTTGTGGCTGAAATGAAAAAGTAAGTAATAAAACTCTAACTGCATGTTTGATTCAATTTCTGTTTAATTCTTATCTGATTCTTTTATTTTACTACTGAAATATTATTTGTATGCGGATTGTGTTTTAATTTTTTTGTTTGAGTTATTTTGGTCTTCCCTTAAATTCTTTGGAGATAAATTCACTTAGCTGAATTGCCAAGTCCTACTTAATTGAGTATAATTGGAATAGAAAGAGTAAGTTAGAAAAATAATTAACTTAAATATGAAATGTATGATGTGATTCTTATAAATGAACTCTACAGGAGTTCTTTTTATGGATGTGATGAAAATATCGGTTAGTTCGTTTGTGAGATTGGCTTGCTATTATTTCGTCAGAGCAGCTAGTTGTTCTTTTCTCTTTTTTATCATCTTCTCTATGGATGCCTATTCATCTATCCCAGTAATTTATTTCTTACTAATAATCCCTCTGATGTTTCAAAGTAAAAAAGAAATCATTGTATCCTGTTTGGCAAAGACTTGATTTTGAATTTTGAAATGCAGAAGCAGCGAGAATACGAAAACTGGGATTCAGTTTTCCAAACAATTGAAACCCAAGAAGCTTGAGATCTGGGAGAAAACAAGGATACTTCCAAAATTCTGATTTCCAGAGGAGCAACGAATCAATTATGCAAAAAACAAAATCAACAAGTGGAAGAACGACCAAATTATGGTTATCGATATTGGTTCCTAAATTTTTTTTTTTTATTTTTTTTGTAAGCTATATATTTAGAATAAATTTAAAATTTATGTGAAATTTATTTGTAGATCTACAACTTTTCACTTTGCAAATGATAAAAGTCCTACGTCTAGAATTTCACGTGGATTAGAACAATAGATTCTAAATTCCATTAAAATTGAAAGAATTCTGTATGAGTTCAATTTTTATCATCTCTTAACTGAAAGAATTCGTACAAATTCTAAATTTATTTCAATCATAGTCACTTCAAGAGAATTTCAACCAACTAGAATATCCTCATAGGCAATGTCAGTTGTTTGACACTAAATTAGAATATCCATTCAATTTGTTCGGCAAAAATCATAAATCTTTCATAATCTTTTATACTAATTCAATTGCTTCACCAATCTTCGTATCTTAAGATCATTAGATTATTGTATTTCCATAGAATTTTGCTCACTTTCCAAGTCGTTTTCTTTCTAATCCAATATGCTAGGCTCTTGTGTGATAAAACATCCACAATTTTCTTGACTTTGATGCTTGCTAATCATCCTTTTGAACATGTCAACCTTATTATTTGCCTCCTACGTAATAATTTTTAAATCTTTAAAATTAATTTGAGAATAAGATTACTTATCAATAACAAGTTAGTTGTATGCTTATTTTAAAAAAAAAAATCGTAGATTTGAATTAGATTGTACTCGTATATTCTGATTTCAAATTTGTATTTTTTATAATATGAGGTTGTCTTATATCATCTAATATACAAATGTATGTACTAAAAAGATGTATAATTCTTTATGAGATTTTATTTTTTTTGTATGTGAAACATTTGTTTTCACTATTTTGTGTATTAGAAGATACAAGAAATCCGTGTGAAATAACAATGATATAAGCAATATCATTAACAACAATCTTATGCTCCAACATCATCTTAAAATAGTTCATAACTAAAAAAAGGTGCAATATTGTAGGAGTTCGACCGATTTTACTTTTTTATTATATATTCATATTAGTAAAAGATTTTAAATTAATCGTGTAGAAACTTATTGTTTATAATTGTAATGGCCCGTAACTTAAAAGAAAATAAAATCATAAATTGAATGTAAAAGCAAAATAATAAAGTTAGGGTTTACATTTCTTACACAATAATTTAGAATACGTAATAGGCATATGGGAATGACTATTCTAAAAGAACAAGTGAAAAATTAAAAAATAAATGAAAAGTAAACAATTAGGTATCTTATGACAACCTTCACTAGCTTTTGAAGGGAGTTCAAGTAGTAAACAATTCACAACTCTCTTGTTGATCGGGATCTGGATCTTGGTATTTTTGATCTGAAAAGGTTAATGAAATGGTGAGGTACACTAACCCAGTAAGAATATCACACTACTCACCGAATTTATTTATCATAAATAAAATCATTTATTGCATACTTACCATAGCGAGATTTTCAAAACCGATCTATAGGAATAATAGCTCAACAACATCAAAATCTCATGTTCAAGTAAGTAAGAATAACAATTTTCTCTTTTTATCTGCCTACTGGTATCCATGGGAGTCCATAGGGATGTTCCACTACGCGTGAACTATCATTCAATATTGTCAACTAACCGACCGTCCTCATACTCCGTCCAGTATGAGTGCTATAAATACCATCCCTCAATACCCCCTCCGGTATGAGGGTGAAACGAGTCGTTCCCATATCTCGTCCGGTATGAACGTCAAAATACCAATCTTCGATACCCCGTCCGGTATGAGACAACGTTCACGATAGGATTTTCTATATATTCGGTTCGTTTACCATCTTTCAGGATATTCAGTAAGACTACTATTTATTCATTCACTTAATCAAACAATTTACGTTTACATTTAATTTTTAGTTTCACAATTTAACTGTAAATCACATCAGACAAGCAATACATGCATTAAGGTAACACAACTGAATCATCTTAACAATTTCTGTATATTATTATTTATTTAAAACTGTAAGATCAAACAATCAATTAAAACATGACAAACAGTAATAACTAACTGGTTCCGGCTCCATTAATAACCTTTAATTAATTATCGAAGTTTTTTAAATTACACAAAATACCGTATTATTTATAATTAGACTTCAATTCTACAACATGGAATAAGGTGAGGGATTCTTACCCAAATCGGTGTTTGAAATATTAAACTTTCAACTGTGCCTACTGGCGATCCCTGAGTTTTCTAAATTTTCTTGCGAAGATTGAAACACGTTTCACGTACCTAAAAATACCACAAAAAATCTATAATTGGTATTAAAACTCTTTTCTGGCAAATTTTAAAATTCCAACACGGCAGCACCACTGTGCTCAGGCGACGGCACCACCGCCCGCAATGGTGGTTTGCCTCGAACTGGTCGTTTTCGATCGGTTTTATATCTATCCCGCTGAGAAAACACGTCAGAGGGACTCGGTTGGCCGAAAAAAGTCAAAAAATAAAAACTTACCGACAGTAGAATTTTTCAGTATGGCGGCTCCACCGACTCACATTTGTGGTTGGACATTTTTCTTCAGTCAACTTGTAGAAAACAAAATGATAAATACA